GAAGTCTAATTCCAGCAGGGAGTGCTTTGAAATAACACCATACTTCACTTACCCCCATTGATGTCCTTGATAACCAGTTTGGAAAACAATAAAACACCCTGTAACTTGCCATGTTTTATTTTCTTACAGTGGTCTCCACTGTTTGGTGGTGACTTTGAAAGCGCTTGTTCTTACAGGAGCATCTGGACTTAGGTTTTGACACCCCAAACAGACTACAAATGAACCAAATTGCTTGCCCAAGTACAAGATCTTATGGGGGAAAGGTCCTCCTTAAAGCTCTCAAAACCAAACCAGGCAGCAGTTACTGGCTTGGATTTGTAGTTTCAGAAGAAAGCAGCTGGCTAACATTATAGACATTCTGAGGAACTTGTCTTTCAGAGGAAAGTTCTTTGATGGCTCTGGACTGATTTTATTTTATGTGCTTATTAACAGGCACACTTTCTCCCCCATTGGGAGGGAAAAGCAAGCAAGCAAACAAACAAACAAAAACCCAACAGTACACTGAAATAATAAAACAAGTAAAGGCAAGTGTCTGATTTCACATCTTGATATTAGCTGAGTCTCCTGCCTTCTCTTTTCATGCTTCCTGGGTAAAGGCTCTGTCTATGGCCTGCCTGCCTGACTCTACTTTGATCTGTGAGGCAGTGCCATACTGCTGTAAATGCACATGCTTCTTTTGATCTAGTACTTAGCTGCTCTTACTTAAATAGATAGCTTCTTTTAACTATGTTGTGTTCTCTCTCTCTCTCTCTCTCTCTCTCTCTCAAAGTTGGCTTAAACTGCTATTATTTAGACAGAAAAATATTTCTTAAGATTGCTCTGATCTGACCTTTATTTCCTAAATTCTAAAATCCTAAAACTCTGTTGTAGATTTTGTAAAGCCAAACTTATATTAAAATGAGTTGCTGTTACAGATGTTGTGTAATATTGGCAAAACCTTTGCTTTTTTTAATGAGAAGGTAGCTTTTCAAGAAATAATAAACATAACACTGTTTTGCCTATACATTGGCAAAAATGCTCATATCAGGATCTAAACATAATAGCCAATTATCCTTATGAATTTTAGTCCATGCTTAATATATTTTCATATTGCTGGATCACAATACCATAAAAGTATAGGAATTGTATTTTTTTCCTTTTTTTGTTGTTTTTGTTTTTTGTTTTTCGAGTCAGGGTTTCTCTATGTAGTCCTGGCTGTCCTGGAGCTCACTCTGTAGACCAGGCTGGCCTCGAACTCAGAAATCCGCCTGCCTCTACCTCCCAAGTGCTGGGATTAAAGGCATGCACCACCACTGCCTGGCAGGAATTGTATTTTTTAAGAATAAGAAGTATATATATTTATTCTTGAAAGAATGTGTTATACATTTTATTAGGTGTTTTATTGATTTGTTACTGACTAGCCTATACTTCAGCCTGTTATCCATTTAGTAAATCATAATGGGGCAAGGATGCAAAGAAATTACATCACAATTGTATAATAGGGGAGGGACACAAAGAAAAATGTATAAGAATCAAGCCATGAAGGTAGGAGACAGCAGGCAAAGACCAGAAAACAATTATATTCAAATATGGTCAGTGCCTTCAGCCTGGCTTGAGAGTGGTAACAAAAATCTCAAAGAGGCAGCATTTAAGTACCATTGAAGGACAAAATGACTCAAACCTTATGGTTTTTTACATTTCTGGTCAAGTCTACAGCATAAAATAAAACTATGTATGCAGAAATTCTCTGATCTAATACAAGTATTTGAACCCATGGAAGATGTCTAAAGTTTGAAAGATTTGCTGCCTCAAGCTATACCAAAAACCTTCTTGTTTTTCATCCAACATGAAGGAGACCCAACTCACTCACATATTTATTTTTTTCTGCATACAATTTAGAACTTCAGCTCTATTCATTTAAAGGTATGTTGGTCATTTTCCTTCACTATACCAAATATCTGAGAGAATCTACTTTAAGAGAATAAAAGCTCATTTTGCTTATGGTCTTGAAGATCTATATGGTCTCCAAAAGTCCATAGTCAATTGGCTCTTCTGCTTTGGGGCCTATAGTGAATCAGAACATCAAGGCAGAGAGCATGCATGGTTGGCAATCAGGTGGCAAGAAGAGAGAGAAGAGGATCTGGGCTTCCAATATTTCCTTCTGGGGCATGTCTCTAATGACTTAACCATCTCTTCCACTAGGCCCCATTTCTTTCTTTCTTTCTTTCTTTCTTTCTTTCTTTCTTTTCTTTTCTTTTCTTTTCTTTTCTTTTCTTTCTTTCTTTCTTTCTTTCTCTCTTTTCCTTCCTTCCTTCCTTTCTTTCTTTCTTTTTTTCTTTCTTTCTTTCTTTAAATCAAATTGTAATTTTTACTTATTCACACAGGGTTTATAAACACAAAAAGATAGGATGTGGGGAAGGGGGTAACACCAGAGCGTAGGTGTTCAAGAAGAGTACAGATATCTTTCAGAACAGGGTATCGGCTGGGTGAAGGTTCAGGGGACAGGTCACTATGACCCTTCCTATGATTCACTTGTCCTTATCTAAGTTGGTACTATCCGCTAAGGCTACCTATTTACAAGGTCTATGACTACTCAGGCTGGTAAATTTCCACAAAAGCTGCCTGTTTACAATAGCTTATAGCCATCTGTTTCAGTGTTTTTCCACAGAGACCCAGGACTTTGTGTTAGCATGCATAGATGTCAGGTCTATGGCTGATTTTAGGCCTATGGCTGATTTTAGGCCTTCAGTGTATAAGCAGAGTTGCCCCTGACATATCCTCCCTTCTCCAAGTATAGAAAGAAGGGCTGTGGCAATTCTAATCTTGTGAAGGTGGGGATACAGGTCTGACCTCTAGTAATTGAAGGGGACCTTGTAATGGCTCCGGTCCCCCTGTCGTTGTCCAGTAAGGCATGAGGGCCATACCCATCTCGTTGTTTTTTTCCTGGAGAGGGGATACTTTTGACATCAACTCCTATGCAGTCAGGCTTGTCCCTCAGGGAACCTAGAGAGATATTTTTTAACTTTTATTTATATTCCCTTGCAGTGCTTAGCCTCACAGCCTAAGCAAGAATTCAGATCGCCAGTCAGAGGGGGTTCTGGGTGGTCCCTCTCTGCTTGGTCTAGGGGCAGATAGGCCCCATTTCTTAAAGTTTCCACAACCTTCCAATAGCACCGTAAGCTGGAGTCTTCTCTCTCTCTCTCTCTCTCTCTCTCTCTCTCTCTCTCTCTCACACACACACACACACACACACACACACACACACACCACATACACAATGTTGCCCCATTGATTAAAAAGTACTTATAATTACTACCTTTTCCATGCCCTGACTGTTCACAAGAGTCTTAAAGCACTGATCCTGGCTTAGACACTGAAGACTGTTGAAGCATACAAAAACCGTAAGCACAAAAGTTTGGAGTGGGGTCAAAAGAAGTGATAAATTGTTAACTGCATGATTGTTACACTAGAACATTCCTACTATTTGGAAGGTTTGGAGACCAGGAATCTGATCACAAAGATTCTGATTGGGTGTGTAGTAGTGGGGAGGAGAGTTTGAGCTCTAAATGATATAAGTGTGTAAGTGTCTGGCGACTGAGCAGAAAGTTCAGTATAGGGTGAAGAGTGCTGAATGCACACAGAGCGGGTTGAGTTGGGGAAATAAAAACCTTGAGGCTGTGAAACTGAAAAAATGAAGTGTGACCCTGGGTACTTTGCCTCTCTTTTCACGCCAGGCATCATTATGTTTCTGAAACCTCACATTTCATGTAGAAGAAACTGTGCACGAGGAAGAACAGCCACCAAAACTTAGATAGACTACATCTTACAAGCCTGGGTTCCCTGGCTACCCCACTGACTTGTCTTGAGCCTGAACTTTTCTTCATGAGATTAGTTTCCCATTGAGAACCTTAGTGTCTATAGTTCAGTGTTCACAGGAACCTCTTGAAGAGTGGTAATCATACCTTGAAATGCTGTAAAGGTATGGTCTCATTGTAGCTCTTCTAGGAAGGACTCCCACCTCTCTCTCTGGACACTCAAACTCCACACCAAACTTGAGAAACAATAGAACTTGAAGAATGGGAACTTTTAAGTATTAGCAAAAGAGACTAGAGGACAGAATGGAAGTGGAGTGCAGGTGAGCCCATGTGAACAATAAGGGACGACAGAAACGAAGCAAGATGTACAGGCGAGTCCATGGGAACAATGAGGGAAACCTACTAGGAGGATGGAGACTAATATTACTTTGAGAGCATGGGCAAAAAATATTTTACAGTCTTAGGATTCAAACCCAGGGCCTTCTACATACTAAGCAAGTACTCTACAACTCAGATAGGCCTCACACTTCCTCTTTAGCCTAGGTTAGTCTCAAAATCATTATCTCCCTCCTTCAGCCTTTAAAGTACTAGAATTGTATGGGGCCTTTTGCCACACACTTTGTCAAACTTGAAAAAAAATTACTTAATGAGTTACTGAGTACAGGCTGTCTGTAACCCCTAACTTTGGGAATACCAAATGGCTTTGGTTAAGTTTGGCTAAGTTTATATTTCCCCAAATTTAACCAACTAGTTTCCTACCCAAACTATATAAACAAATTGTAAAGGGGAATTCTCAAGGAAATCAGGGAACTATTACTAGAAAAAAGGTGGGGAACAAATGGTGGAAAATTAAAAGCAGTAGGTTTGACAGTAGTACCCTTTGCACTAACTTATACATTCTTACCAGTATGACAATGGTGAAACGTATATGACTAGAATGCTTTCATGGAGCATGACAATGTATTCAGTACCATGATCATGCTTGGCTTTCTCCATATTAACTAATCCATTTCAAATTCAACCCTACAATTATGTTACTAAGAAGGATATCATGTACAGAGAATAATTAACTAGCTCAAAGGCTTATTTAAGAGTTGAACACCAACCATTTGAGTCCAGAACCCATGTAAATGTATATGTGGAAGTGCAGTGTTGGAATGGTGAGATACTGACTTCTTTAATAACTCCCTCTCCTTCCTTCTCAAGTGCTGTTTAAGTAGAGCCGAGGCCAGGCGGGATGCTGCTAAAGTGGCTCTCATCAACTCTCTCTTCAACGAGCTGCCCTCCCGAAGGATCACCAAGGAGTTCATCATGGAGAGTGTTCAGGAAGCAGTAGCCTCCACCAGGGTGAGTACCGAAGGGAGACAAGAGGTGGCCTCTATGAGAAAATGGGGACATTTGAATTTTGGGAAATACTAAAGTAAGCAAATTTCTCATTCCAACAATGTGCAGGTTAAATTTTGTCCAGTGACTTACTAACACTCAGCAAAATGGAACCTTAGGTTGAAAGTCATGAAGATGGAGCATGGCTGTCCATTGTACATCTTACTAATCAATACTCTTGGCAACCCAGGATCAAAACCAATCAAGTTTCAGACTGAGGAAGATCACATGATTACATTGACTCCAATGTTTGCTTTTTGAAGAATATAGGTATTTTTTTAGGGTCCAAGAATGTATGCAATGGAAGAAAGACTCATAATTTAATAACAAATTAGTTCTACTTTTCCCCCAACTTAACTAATTATAAGAAATCCTTACTGTAAGTGCTAATTCCCCAACTAGTATGCAGTCTTGCAATTTATAGTGTTAAAAAACTGTGGGCTGCTTAGACAGCTCTATGTGTTAGAATAATCATGGTTCCTAGTTGTTTGCATCTTCCAGTAAGCTTTGAGGCTTTCTATGACAGATACAATGAAATGCTTTGAGAGAAAAATAACACAACAAAATGTGTCTTAGAAATTTAAAGAGGGAAATTTCTCAGCCACCCATGGCTGGATATTTACTTGTCCATTAAACGGTAGAGAGTTCCTGACCATTATCTCCATCTATAAGCCACAGAGGAAAGAAACCTGAGCCCCACCTACAGCAGACGTTTTTCCTGTGTGAGCTCAAGGGCAGGAGTTTGAATTATAGAAGAACAAACTTTGTTACTTTTCTTCTGCTCTTTTCCCTCCCCCTTCCCCTCTCCTTCCTCCACCCAACTCCCTTCCAACCCCTACCTCCCACCCCATCTTCTCTCAAACAGGGTCTTACAGTGGAGTCCTGGCTGTCCTGAAACTCACTATGTAGACTAGGCTGGCCTTGACTTCACAGGGATCCTTCTGTCTCTCTGCCTCTCTTCCTCTCGGCCTCCCCTCCTGAGGGCTGGAATTAAGGAAGGCTGGAATTAAAGACCCTCGTGTGGTCCCCATCCCCCACCCTCTTTTTCGCCTCCTGAGCTGGATTGACAGGCTCTGTCTTTACAAGGCAGCTGCTGCTAAAGGAGCTGCTCACACCGTTAGGGACTCTTGCCCCTTATGAAGTACTCTTATCACTTAGAGGAGAGAGGGGCAGCAGGACAGTAGGACTAGTAGCCTGGCTAGGAAAAAGTGGAGAGTTCTTCACTCTATCAGGTCTGAAGATAAAAGGAAGCATTTATTTTTCTGACCCTGTAAATTTCAAGTGCCTTTAAGGAAGAGAAGTTAGGAAAATAATGCCTGATTTATATACATGTGGAATTTACTTACGAGCAGGAAAGGGCTCTCAATGTAAATGTAATTTGTCATTTTTCACGGAAATTTCTAAAGAGAGAGAATATATATGGCTTGCAGGCTTCTGGATGGATTTCCCTTAGGATATCTAAAAGGCCAACATAAATATTTCAGAAGCAATGTGTTAATGTTATTGCATTCAAAGCTATACATTTGCTGCTGTCTGATGCTGACAGTTGTTTGTTCAGTCTCAGAACCTTGCTATTGCCCACCATCCTGGGAATCCAAGGCCATGGGGTACTGAAGGAGGTCTGAATGCCATTCCAGAGAGCTTGTGTTTGCTGCTTAGTGCTGTTCCCTACAACCAAGCTTAAAAAGAATTTCATTTTTTACCTGGCACCTGCCTTGCTTCTTAAAGATTAAATGGTCTGAGTATAAAAAAATAAGCCAACAGACACCCATGTTGTCAACCAACAGCAGCTTATTATGAAAACTTACCTTTAAGAGACATGCAGGAAGAAAGGAATGGGCCATGCAACTGCACGGTTGTTTTAAGTTCTATTATACAGTCTTGCCTGATTATCATTGAAATCAAATTAAGGTCAATGTTGCAAGATTCCAGTAACCCACAGTGATAGTCATAGAGAGCAGACACACAAGCATTAATATAGAAATTTGTATAGCAAATATCTATGAATTCCTACTTTGAGATTGTCATCCTATCAGCAGTTACACAGAGTGCTACCATTTCAAGCAAAAGCCACATTCAAGCTGATTATGAAACACTCTTTCCTTGAGTCACTTGAGACTAAGTATCTTATCCAAGAGCAACTGTATATCAACACCCTTAGGCCAATAGTAGGATTAGGACCTGATCATTTAAAGAAGGGAAGAAATTATCAGTGATAGTTTCTTTGTTTGCTTTCCTTCCCAAGGGCACTTTAGACGACGCAGATGACCCCAGCACAAGCGTGGGAGCCTATCACTACATGCTGGAGTCTAACATGGGGAAGACAATGCTGGAGTTTCAGGTGCCTAACTCCCTGTGGCTCATTTGTTTGATGATCCAATCTGAAGCTTGGGAGATGTGCAACTCTTTTCATCTTATTTATTTATTCTTAATAAGTGTGTGTGTGTGTGTGTGTGTGTGTGTGTGTACACATAAGTTCAGGTGCTTGTGGAGGGCAGAACATCAGATCTCTCTGGAACTGAAGTTATAGGACACACACGTTTAGCTACTGAGTCATTTCTCCAGCCCTAAGACATGCAAGTCTTATCACTAGCAGTAATATCTTCTGTTCCAACAGTCTGCTTTTAAAAAAATTTACCCTTTTAGAATCCAACATGGTAACTTCATTTTAGCCATATTCAATAAGCCAAATCAAATAGCAATCAAGATAACACGCTCTTAGGAAGTTCCCTGCCCCCAAACTTCAAGGCCTGTCTTAAAACAAAACAAAAAACAAAAAAGGAGAACAATAAAGAGTAATTTTTTTAAAAAACAAAACAAACCCAAAACATAGACGAGAATAACAGGAAAGAGGGGAATGGCACAGGAGAAAAGACACACCCACTTAAAACCACGCAGAACTATACGTGGCACCTGCCACATTATATCTCTTAGAAACGGGTGACTAATGACTGTTTTGCAAGCTGGTAGCACTTCACCAGATCTTCAGGACTAAGACTATATTAAATAGTTAAAAAAAATACTGCTTATGACCATTTCTTCTTTACTTTCCAGAAGTTACAGATAAAGGTTTTTATGGAGATACCTTCTAAAGTACTACTTCAGTTCTGATGTTTCTATTGAAAAACATGTGCTTCTCTCTCCATAGAGGGAAAGCAACATTAGTACCATGTCATTCACATCTGACAAACAGTAACAGCTGAGAAACTCGGTTACTTACCACACACAACACAACCGTCAATTTACGATTTCCAACTTTTATGTTGGCATGAAAACAATACTGCTCCTTGTCTCTTCAGTATATTGCTCAATAAATCACAGAAGATACTTAATACTTTATTATAAACGTTTGCCTAACTGCAAGCCAATGCAAATGTTTTGAGCATGTTGAAGGTATACTCTGCAAGGCTCTGAGGTTCACTAGGTTAGCTGTACTATATACATTTTGGGCTTACTGATGTTCAATTACAATTGGCTTATTGTATCTGTATTTGTAATATGAAAAATTATAACAATGGTATCAAATCTGATTCTTATATTTTGGGGAGCATAATATTGAATATTGACAATTATTTCTATAATTTAGCCCTTACAACAGCTATATAGAGTAGTTTTTATTATACATTTGTTATTATCCAAGGGAGATTCGGCTTCAGACCCGCATGAGGCAAAATTTCTCCATTTCTCTCATGTCTGATTCTCACATTCTGGTTTGGACAGATGGAAATTCATCAGTAATTTGGCAGGAAATGTGTGCCCCTATGAACAGCTAAGCTAGAATGGACTGAAATATCTGATCACAGAGAACAAGTTAAAATTAATATGTAATAGTACAGCCGTACCCATGGTGCTTCTATTTAGGTTTGATTTCAAGAAGTAATCAGTCCTACAAAATTTTATGGCCAAACAATGTTTATCATGGTAAAACTATCACTGTGTTGCAGCTGAGGCCCAAGGCCACTGACTTTTCTCTGGAGTGGTTGAGGACACGTGGGACGGACTGGATGGCTTTAGTCTTACTCTGTTCCTTATCTGTAGATTTGTTTCTTCATTTGTGTATAAATCTAAGGAAATACCAGTATTACTCCACAGTGCCAGGGTGAAGGTGAAATAGGACATAAAGAGTCTAGAACAGCCTGGCATATGGTAAACACTCCATGAAGTTAAGGATGACTCTGGAGGATTATATTACTTTAAAACACCAGAGGGTACTTGATGGATGAATTTCTACCCCTCCCCACAACACACACACACACACACACACACACACACACACACACACCCCTTTATGTAATCAGAAGCTTCACTAAAGGTTAGGTAACTCCCTGCCAAAATACTTTATGGCTCCCTCCCTTACAATAAAAGAGGGAAACTATAAAGGGTCTATAATGCTCCCCTAAAATCTAACCTCTAATATATTTATTACTGTCACCCGTGTCACAAAGAAGCTGTATGTAATTTAGCAGAAATTTAAAAAATGATGATTTTGAGCATAGGTGGCTTAGTCTGCCAAAGCTGGTGAGGCAAAATTAATTTTTAAAAAATGTTTTTTCTTAAAACTCTTTCTAAGTACTATGAAAGACTCTACTCAATCTCTGGTCCGGATCACTTTAACCCTTGCCTTGCTGGTCTGCTTTCTGTGTGGTCCATATAGTAAGGTATTTAAATGACATAATCACTTAAATCACACTCTGGAAATGCTTCATAAAGAAGGCTGGGAGCACGATGAGAACAAAGGGAAAAGACAGAAGGCTGGAAACCCCAAATCCTCAGGTCAGGAGGGAGGACCCAGGGAGCCCTGCTTTTCCTTCCGCCTGCCTGCTGTGGCCTAGCCCGTTCCATGAGGTCTGGGCAGCTTGTGTCTACACATAAAGGGAAGTGAATACAGACTTGTGCTATTTCTGCAAAGGCACAAATCGGTGCCCCCTCCTGGAGCGGGGATTTTTACAGAAGAGTGTTTGGATCAAGAATGGTTGACTATAGCGTAGAAAAACAAGGCTGGTGTCTCCCGACTGCCCTGGGGTTTTCGGTGGGCCAGCCCTGCTGCGCTGAGGAATTGCAATAGGCTTCAGTTTACCGTCACTCCTTGGGAGGGAAGGAGCTGCCTATTGTGAGGTAAGCTTGCCAGAGAGACAACTGCCTGCTGTTAGGGGGAGGGACAGGAGGCGCAACTAGCGGGCGCTGGGTCTTGTCAAGGTCAGATTCTAGGCAGAATTTGACTGAAGCTGGTTAATATATTTATTCTGCAGACTAATGCAATCCAAGGAAGAGTTGTTTATTTACATCTGCGCTAAATTCTCCAGGTCGCCTTTTAAAGCCTCATCCCATAAACAAATTTCCTCTTAAACTCATTTTCTTGGGTGGGGAGATGGTGCCCACCTGTTTTCCAAGTTCTCCTTTTACAGTGTTTGTTTTTCTTATTTCTGATGAATCACAGAACCCAGTCAGCCTCAAAACTTCCAGAGGAGGCAACTCCAAGCGGCTCAGAGCGGCTGAAAAGCCGCTATGAAACCAGGCAGGCAGTTTCCAGGACAGAGCCCAGTTGTTGCAGGATTAAACGAAATGAATGACGAAGTAAAACAGGGAGCTGTGGACTGTGGACAGAGAGCAGCTACTATAATTTTCCCCGCCGAGCAAAGAAAACACAGGCTTTTATTCACCACTCAGTTTACAATTCATTTTGCTGATCAAAACCAGTTAAATAATTCGTGGGGCTCAGCGCAAAATAAAAATGCCAGGGCCTTTGCTCAAAATCTATTAAATTGAGGATCAAACCAAGGGCAGTTTGCTGAGACAAATCCAGAAAGGCCCAGACTAGGAAGGGCAAGTGATACATCAATCTTGGCACAAAATCTAAAGATGCTTTAAAAAGCTAAATGATTAAAATAGACAATATTATACAACAATATATTTTAAGTTTAAAATGATTGCAAAAAGCCATCCTAATAAACAAAATATGAAGAAAAAACATTGGTTTTTTTCTGTTTGTTTTGTTTTTTTAAGACAAGATTTCAGTAGGTAGAGCAGGCTTGCTTTGAACTCACAAGATCCACTGCTGCTGCCTCCTAAGTACTGGAGGTGAACAAACAAGTGTCCTACAATGCATGGCACAAAATGCAGATTTTTAAAAGATCCAGAACATTTATGAATAACAGTTTAAATCTTGCCTCACATACCTCACCCCAATGAGCTAGTTTCTCAGGTTCCTTTCAATCCAGCCAGGCTCTCAAACCTACATGACTACCCTATTTAACAAACTCCACAACAGAACAGAGCATGTCCTCACAGAGCAGGTGACTCTTGATCAGATACAAAGCCAGGGCAAAAACCAGGTAACAGCAATCACAGTGAAACCAGAAAACAGTTCTTTACGGAAGTCTTCTGAAGTTGTGCATGAATTTCCCTATAAGTCAGACAGAGCATGGAAGCACTGGACTAAGCTTGAATTAATACTCAGAAAGTTGTAAAGATACTCATAATCCCAGCCCTCAGGAGGAAGAGGCAGGTAGATCTCTGAGCTCTATATCAGCCTTGTCCACATAAGTGAGCTCCAGGACAGCCAGAGCTGCATAGTGAGACCCTGTCTTGGAAAAGGAAAACAAACAAAAACCAAACAAAAACCAAACAAACAAACAAAAAACCGAAACAAATCAAAACAAACACAGCAAACCAAACAACAATAAAAAAGAATTTGGTCTCACAGAAGGAAATTAAGAAACTGGAACAGAAGTATGTGTAACTAATGAGTTATACCTTATACAATAATGGCGAGTGTTTCTACACAGCAGGGCAAAAGCTAGACCAGGATAGAAAGAATGTGGAGGAGAAGGTGGTCACCTTCCATAAGAAATGCAAGAATCAGAGCCACACTCAGGAGAAAGTACTTTTTAGATAAACCAGAGCAGCAGAGAGGTGAGTGACCTTCCCCCCCGAGGCAAGAAGAGTTCCAGCCTTTTGGGGAAGCCTTTGGGAGATGAAAGTTGCCAAAGAGCATGAGAAAGCTTTCTGGTTCTGTTCACAGTATAACCATGGGTTGAAAAGTCTGGGAAATTCTCCAGGTGGATGGACAACAGTGGATCTAAAGAAGCAGGCATTGATGCAGAGATGAGAAAGTGGTCTTAGAAGATTCTAAAGAAAGAAGAGTGCACATCAACAACAAAAACCGTCAGAGAAAATCAAGAACCATATTAGCAATAAGTTATTTCTCTGACAGGGTCATCTCGGGAAAACAAGTCCAGCCTCTCTCTTTTGGCTGCTAAATTTACATAGGGACTGTGAGTGTATATCAATGGTAGGGGACTTGCCAAGCATGGACAAGTTCCTGCATTTGATCTGCAGTACTAGGAAAAATAATAATTTTAAAACCAACTGCAGATTAGTGATAGGCAAGGGGTCAACTAAAGAAGCAGAGTGGTTTTTTTTTGTTGTTGTTGTTGTTCATTAAAAACTAATACAGGGCTATAGAGATAGCTCAGGCTGAAGCAATTACACACAGACAAGAGGACTTTAATCCTGCCCTCAGTATGGACATGAGAAGCCAGGCTTGGTGGTTCAAGCCTGTAATCTTAGTAGGAAAACAGAGACAGGAAGATACTTAGGGCTTGCTGGGCAGTCTAGCCAAATCAGTGAGCTCCAACTTGGGTGAGACCCTGTCTCAAAAAAAAAAAAAAAAGAAAAAGAAAAAAGAAAAAGAAAAAAAAGGTGGCTGAGTTACTGAGCAGAACATCCACTGTTGACCTCTGGCCTCTACACTCATTCATATTCATGTACACATCCACCCATATGTACATGTACACATACATGACACACAAAATACATAACGAGTGCAAAATTCAAGTAGATTTTTTCTTTTTTAAAATTTTTCTTTATTTATTATATGTAAGTATACTGTAGCTGTCTTCAGACACCCACAAGAGGGCATCAGATCTCATTACAGATGGTTGTGAGCCACCATGTGGTTGCTGGGATTTGAACTTATGACTTCTGGAAGAGCAGTCGGTGCTCTTAACCATTGAGCCGTCTCACCAGCCCTCAAGTAGATTTTTAATGTGAAATCAAACAAACTTTGAATATCAGCCTTTTATTACAACATAAAGCATAAACAATTCATATTTGGTGGCTACAAACCCACAATGGCCTGAACAGCCATAGTACGTATGGGTTTGAAGGGAACATTGGGGAAGGCAGCAGAAATTTACTCTCCTGAGCAACAGAGAATACTTTGATGAATGGATTGATAGGCACAGTGATGAGAGCCCTATTAGGCAAGATTTGGCAGTCTGTTGAAGTGCTCTGACTTTTTCATATTAGCGTAGTGATGCGCTGGCATCATGAAACTGTGTGGAGCCAGAGAGAAGGGCTGTAATGGGAAAAGTCTCTGAGCATTTGACTTGGGATACTGGACAGGTGGGTCTTTGTTCAGCATGGAAAAACCAACTTAGTTTATATTTGTGTTATATTTAATTGATGGAAACAAATGGTTTTGCTTTTACTTCAAGTGCAATGTCTCTTGGGGTACACACTGTATGGTAGAGTAAAGACAATGTGCCCAACTGCATCTCAGGATGAAAAGCAGCCGCATTAGAAATAGCAACTGTAGAGCTGAGACCTACGCTGCTTTTTCCACTGATAAGCCCACATCTCTGAAATGCACCAGATAATTTAAGGTGCCTGCAACCTAAGATTATACCTTTCAGAAGAAAACCAAGTTCTTAAGCAAACAGAAGTGAAGACAGTTAGTAAAAGACTGTTGTTATGAATCATAAATAGGACATCTGTCTAGATGCTAAGATTTCATAACTATTTTCACAAGCAGGAAGTTTCTTAATTATATAATGTTATTTTCCAATGATTACATGGTTGTGGTTTATGGTGTCAAGCCATAATTTATGTCTAGCTAAAAGCAAAACAAAGCAAAGAACAAAAGCAAAATCCCTGAATAAGTAAAACACAGCAAATTGCAGGGGAAAACTGTGACCACATTAGGAAAATGGAAATATTCAGCTTGCTGGTCTTCTGCTCACCTTGACACCAGGCAGGGAAGTAGGAACAGATCTGACAGGCCTCTGTTGTGCTCACGCAAGGCTGAAAACACTGAATGCGGAACCCTTTGCTTTAAGGTAAATACAACCACACTCTTCATATTTTAAGGCATTCTTGTTTGTTTGTTTTTGTTTGTTTTTGTTTTGTTTTGTTTTTGTTTTGTTTTGAGACAAGATTTCTCTGTGTAGCCCTGGCTGTGCTAGAACTCACTTTGTAGACCAGGCTGGCAAATCACAAATCTGCCTGCCTCTGCCTCCCAAATGCTGGGATTAAAGGTGTGCACCACCATTGCCCGGCCATTTTAAGGCATTCTTAAAGCACAGAAGTTTACCTCTCTTTTTATGCTGGCGAAACTTCTCTCTCCCCTCCTCCATTCCTCCCTTCTTCCCTCTGTTTATCCTGCCCCCTTTCCTGCTTTTGGAAAAGTCAGGTGAATAGCATATTTCAACTTGTTAACATGAAACTTTAGCATGAGTGAGTCTATTTTGTTTGGTCCATTTTGGGTCAAATATTGGAAGGAGTGTGGTCCAAAGCAAATGGTCTCCTATAAATTTTACTTAGTAATATAGGCATATTTATTTTTTCAGTTTAAATTTTTAAAATTTCAGTTGTTTTCTTTTATGTCACATAGTCACATGATTTAAAACCGAAAACATTTTCTCTAGAATTCTGGAAAGAATCCCTCCCAATCTTTTTTCTCAAGTCAGACATGTTAACTAGAACAATTGTGTTTATTGTTTTGGTGCTGCAGATCCAATATTGAATCTCATGCATACTAAGTACCTGTTCTCCCACCAAGTGAGACCCTCGGACTCTCTATTACCAGAAATCTCTTTTGCATCTTTTAAAAACTCTTAAAGTATTTACAAGTAAATATGTATATAAAATAAAATACAAAGTATACATTGTTGTGTGCTTTTCTCTTATTTTAGCAATACATCATAGACTTCTTTGTTTTATAGCTTAGAGAGTGTTTGTATCCGTTATGTATGCAGTGTTCAGTAATATGGACAAATCATTTTTTAATTGTTCTCTAAATATGAACGTTTGAAATAATTTTAATCTCTGCTTATTAAAAAATGATATACCATATAACTTTGTATGTTAGTTTTCCTATGTTCTGGCATACTTAAGTAACATTTGGAGTGTACAATTATTTTAATGTGTATATTTTTAGTGTTGAAAGATACTTGTCAATCATTTAGTAATTTTTTATTGAAAATAGGCTAAAGTAAGGGAATGGAGATTAAACTTCATGGGCCTCAAGGCTCTATGGAAAGTCTCAAGACATATGACAATATCATATATCTTGTTTCCTTTGCTTTTGGGGGTCAGACTTCTATCTGCTCAGCTCTGAATGACATGTACTTCAGCTTTAAAATCAATGACAGATGTTTGGGTTTTATAGGAACTAATGACCATTTTCCAACTACTGCACTGGAATGGAAGCCTGAAAGCCCTCCGTGAAACAAAGTGTTCTCGACAGGTGAGATGTTGTGGTTGAGACAGGTTAGCATGCTGAGGACAAGGCCAGGAGCTTATCAAACTTTGAAGAGAGTTTGTTTAGACACTTCTGTTTACATTTTACACATACTGACTAAAACCTCCTCTGTTTATGCATTTCTGTGTTTTAAATTTATATTTACTTACTGAGTTAAGAGCAGGGACAAGTGAAGAAATATTGAGTCAGAGACTGTCGCACACTAAGAATGTTGGCTTTGCGTAGGGTTGATCTGAACACCCATTATACTGAAAGCAGAATGAAGCAACCATTAAGACAGTGTCGGATTCTCAGTGAGGTACTGACTTACCTTGTGCCTCCAGTCTCTTACTTGGATCTGTGCCCTCTTGCACTCTCTAGTACAGAGAGAAAGAGAATGAGCTGCTTTCGAAATCGTCTTGCTAAACACACACAGAGTCAATACACCAAAAGGTTATTTCTCAACCACCAAAAGTTCCTCAAAAGCAGCAGAAAGGATCCTGGAGTTGGACACCCTCGAAGTTAGTCACCATAATTTTGTGGTTTAGGAGTTTGACCTTTGTTTTCCAGAGGCAATGTCTCAGTATGTCTTCATTACTTAGAATAAGAACGCTTCCTCTATTTAATACCAAATGTAAATCCTGTCCTGTGTGCTTTATACTTTCTCCACATTGCCCTCTGAGCTGTATTCTTTCTCTATGCACCATTAGAACTTGGAAGACAAGAACTGATTTTTGAGAATCTCCTAATAAGAATTTGTATGAAGAACTAAGCCTCTCATAGACAGCAAGATGAGGGTGGAGGCACTGCAGCCCCAGGAGATTTGAGTTGTTCTTTGCTTAGGAACTCTGGCTCTCAAATTGTCAAAGATGGAAAAGACACGAGTAGCTGACAATGGCTTGGGCTATTTTTTTCCCCTTCCCTTTGATTTTATTAAAGTCCTTTGAAATATGTTGGGTTGGTTATAAACACTTTTCCACGATTGTTTTTAATTTGTTAAGGTCATAAATAAATACCATATGTTCTTGAAAATAAACATAAGCAATGCAGCCACTCCCCATGATCAAACATGTATATGACAACACAATAGATTGATAGTTTTTCAGAGAAGAATTGAAAGGAGTGGCTAATTTTTAATTGTTTGCAAAAGCAAGAAACAGTATATCACAGAGGTAGCCTCACAAAACCAATAATGATAATCGCCCATTCTACCATTTATTTTTGAATTTTTTTCTGTGCTTATTGTGAGCTACTTGGATATTTATGTTCCTTATGTTCACAAACTGCTTACTAATCTAAATCTAGTCTATGTCTGCCACGTGGCCTGTTACTTCTCATTCAGACCAGGTACCCGTTCATTCCACCCCTATCTCCTACCTAAAAGTCCCACCTTTCCTCTCCCTCTTAGCTATTGGCCATCAGATCTTTATTAAACCAATCAGAAGGTGAGGGAGGTGCATGCTCACAAAGTATAAGGCAGGAGATGATCTATAAAAATAACAATACCAAAAATCCATACAATATTCAGCTCTCTGCCTGTACAGAAATCAACATTTGAATAATACAAAGACAACCTTTACCCCAACAGTCTTGTTTTCTTGGCATTTTCTTACAAGCACTCAAAATTCTCCTCACAAGACCTCACTCTTGGACTGTGTCACAATAACAAAGCACAGAAGCTAGGAAGTAGAGTTGTGAGTTTCAAAGTCTTGTTCTGAAGTCCCCTTGACTGACTCCTTCCTCATTCCTGTAATAGACATGTCCAAACCTTATTCTACCTCAACTTGTTTGTGTAGCTCCTTTCCTGTTTCTGTCTTGTCAAAGGCAATGGTACTGGGCCCGAGGGTCCAATGAAGAATTAAGTCATATTTATACTAGTTGTTACAGGAATACATTTTCAAGGACGGGCTTGTATTTTCTAGAGCTTCATTTTGTGAACATTGTTGTAATTTCTAGTGTTGTATTTTGACTTAGCCTGGAGTGACAGGCTTTGCAAGACGAGATTAGTTCATCATTTCCTTTCCAGAAATATGTCGATGGGATTTGGTTTCAGAGTTTTAAAGTTGGAGTTAGTTGTTTGAAGACCATATGACTGGGGAAGTATGAAAGGCCTCACATACATGCACCTTTGTTTCTCTTTATTGACATTCTGAATTTTTGTTTCCTGGTTCTAGGAAGTCATCTCCTATTATTCCCAGTACTCTTTAGATGAAAAGATGCGCAGCCACATGGCCCTGGACTGGATTATGAAGGAACGTGAATCACCAGGAATTCTCTCTCAAGAGCTGCGTGCAGCCCTAGGGCAGCTGGAGGAAGCCAGGAAGGCTGGACAAGAACTACGATTTTACAAAGAAAAAAAAGAAATCCTGAGCTTGGCTCTCACTCAGATCTATGACCCTGACCCTACCTCGCCTAGTGATGACCAGCTGAGCCTCACAGCTCTGTGTGGCTATCATTAGCATGGCCAGGTCTCAGGTTTTCTGAGGACTTTCACATCAAGAATCTACTTGACAGAAGTTGTTAGAGATTTTAGCATGATAGTCATTACCTGAAGGCTGTACTGCTCCTACACAGTTTGTTCATAGACTGGGAGGCTAGGGTGGACTGGTCCATACCCCAGCTTCCTACTTCATGTATGTTTTCAACCATTCCCTTAGTGGTTCTACTTCAGAATGAAAGAATGACAACAAAATTCCTTTAGAAAGTATTCTTCAGGGTTTGATCTAATCTAAAAAGCCTAGTTGACATGTGCCTTGCTAAATTTTATGCATTGCTTCACACAACAGTCCAGTATAGCAGCCTCCAAGAAAACAGCAGCCAGGACTAGGAAATATATCATGATAACTTTTTTTTTTTTTAAGTGACACAGTTTCTCTGTGTAGTCCTGGCTGTCCTGGAACTTGCTCTTTAGACCAGGCTGTCCTCGAACTCAGAAATCTGCCTGCTTTTGCCTTCTGAGTGCTGGGATTAAAGACATGTGCCACAACCACTTGGCTTATAACAATGTTTCAAATACTTAAGATTAAATAAACAGTACAGATCATTTTTTTAAAAAACTGTACAACAGTCAGCATGTTTTTGAACCATCTTGAAAATTAGTGTATTCTTATCATATATTTTGAAATTAGCTTTAATAGCAAAAATTATCACATATATTTCTCAGACAAGATGAAATTAAGTACATAAGTACTCTATTCCAATGTCCTAAAAAGGTAATGGTGTATAATGTTAGATAGATTTCATTTTAAAATGATATTTTAACAAAAATCATATCACTTCTCATAAGGAAACTAAAAGTGTCATCAGGAAGAAAACTTTAGATTATTGTAATCTTGAGGAGGAATTAGGATTCTTTTTGTTTGTTGAATAAAATTTTAGGTGAAAGAAATTTCTATTTCTTTTTTTTTTTTTCACAAAATCTCTATCATTTTAAATCCAGCACATTTTCACATGTTGGTTGTGATCTCTATATGCGGTACATGCAGTACATGCGGTACATCTTCACTGTATTTGGCAATGTCCACCTCAGAAGAATGATATCTGATTAGATACATGAACAGGGATTGGATGGGTCAATATCAAGCTTCTCTTCTGCTTTATAGTCATGACACGGTACAAATTCTCTGAACTGAAAATTACATAGACTGCTTTTTCTTGGACTATCCCCCAGAAGCTTCAGCAAAAGTACAAAGGTTATGGCCATGGCTGGCTCTATCTAATAGCAAATCAACTTCAGCCAGGGCATTATGCTGAGAGTATCACACATGTCTATAATACTCGCACAGAGAAACATAAAAGAGGGACAAGACAAACACTTAACACTTAATACTCTTGTCTTAATACTGCACTGTGGAAAGAGTCGAGAACAAAAGAGTCTCTAAGAAGATGAAGCCCTGAAGGTGATAGTTGTTGTTGCTATGAACTCCCTGAAAATTAGATAAAAAGCCACAGACTAGCTCATCGCCAAATGCAACAATTTCATACAGCATATGGCCCTGTCCCAAATTTATGGATTATCCCAGAGCATCATTGACCTAAGGGTTTGAAACTCACAATTTTAAAAGCAAACATAGTCTTACACTTCACAACAGATATCTAATAACCCATAGACCATATTTCTAAGATTACTACCATCATAAAATAAAGAATTGCATTGTTTAGGCCAATGTTGAAATAAATATTTAAAAATCAGCCGACAGTCAAGCCGACTATCTAACCTGCAGTGGCTCTGCCTAGCTCAGCTGCCATGTTTCTCGGCCGGTGGCCATGTGCATGCCGCAGCCATAGCTAGAACTGGCCAGCCAGAAACACCAGCCCTGCCACCCACAGGACGCCAGCGTGGGTGATAGCTCTGCCAATCTTCCACGCTGTCTCCGCAAGGCTGGGCATTGCCCAGACCATCTCGCCTTCTATGCAGGCCCAGTAATAAGATGAGACTCTAATGCTTAAAGATTAATCAAAGGCTTTATATGTTTGGTAATGTTCAATAACGATATGCCCATACAAAGAGAGCTGTTTCCCAATTAGCTAACCTAAATAAAAGTTATTACCCACGACTGCTCTCCATACCTGTGTGGATCTCCATCGATCCTACATCTCTGCTCTTCTCTCGCTCCTCCTCTTCCTTTTTCCTCTTCCTCTCCTAACTCCTCCCACCTTAGCTCCTCCTACAGGCCATGATAGTTTAATTTTTATAAAATCAAAATATACCTTGCTGTTGTGGAAAAACAAATTAAGACAAACTAGACACTAAATGTTGGCAACTATCAGAATATTACAGATTTAATAAAATCATCATTCCTTCAATATTCTGAATTTGGCTACACATTTTTTTTTTTTTTTTTTTTAGAGCTACAGTTCATGTGTGCTTTTGCTCTTAACATCAACTATTTCTAGAAAAGGAAAAGAATCAAGTCCTAGATGTGTTCTTCACTGAGAATCTTGTCACATTGGTCTGGACATAAAAAATGGGGAGAAAAAAACCAAAAGTTTTTAACTCTCCTATTTCTTTGGGGAAAATGTTTTCAGCCAAAATAATTGTTGTAGTTGACTATAGTCTGGATGTTTTAGAGTTCTTATTTTAATTTGGAGTGTCTTTCTTTGTAGCCAAAGTCAGACTATCAAAGTTTTCCTTACCTTTCACTATGTTCATAGGTAAACACTAGCCCAAGCATTGTCACCTTTAGGTTTTGTGGTGTTCATAATAAGTCAAATCACAGCCTTCTTCTATGCTGAAACTTAGATCAAATGGTCTAGAGTGTTGATGCTGTTTTCATCTAGGGTTCCAGTGTGATAGAACTCATTTTCTCTACTACAGTGTTTTTGGTTGTGTGTGTAAAATACCTAAAGAGCTTTAAAAATCTTACATGGTCAAACTGTTTCAAGGTGAAATCAGACTTTTTGGGTGCATGGTCCAGGCATCAGTCTTGTATGTATCTCACCAGACAGTTCTAATGTATAACAAAGTTGACAGCTACTGCCTGCTTTCTCCAGTCATCATTGACTCAAGTCTATTACCTAACCTGGATAGCCACTGCCCCACTTTAATCTTGGACCCAAACCCAAATTTTAGAACTCTTCTAGGCTACAAGAGTAGATACTTTTCCTTGAGCATGTTTTCTTTGTAACCTAGAACAAAAAGAGGAAAATTGTCCTCATAGGTGCACACACACACACACACATATGTGTGCGAATTCGTGGGTGGGGGGCGGGGGGAGGTATGGGGTCAGTTTGCATTATGACAGCTAAAAAGCAGAAAAGATGAATGCAGGAAGAAGCCATGGCAAAATACATCCCCAAAAGACTCTTTCAGTGACATACTCTACCTAGTGTCCATGTCCTATGAACTTACAGTGATACCATCCTTTATAAATCTGTGAAGGCATTAATCGATTAATTAGGTCAGAACTCTCATGGCCTAATTATTTCTGGAAATGTTATCACAGACTAATCCAATCTCCTAGGTGGTTTTCAATATAACTAACAACGTATCTGATCTAGATTCTGCCCCCAAGGAATGTGTGGATTCCTTTTTTTCTTATACTATACGTAAACCATGTACACAGATTCACCTGAGATCCTTGTTTGTTTGTTGTTGTTGTTTTTTCTTTTTAAAGTTCTGCTGTATTGCAGAACTACTGAGCACATTCTAGGCAGTTCTAGGTTGTTTAATACTTCTTTCCATGCTTCCGACCACACTCCAGTCTTTGATATCTCAACCTGAAATTATTTAATACATCTTTCACTGAGCAGTGTAGCCCTGGCCTCTCAGGTAAGAACATGCAGAGGAGTATCCTTCTGTAAGCTAGAGATTAGCAGAAGGGGAAAAGACTTCTCAAAAGAGCACCATGGCACCAACATTTGGTATTACTTTTAAGCACCCTACTAAGAGCCAAACCATTATGACCTCCATTTATTAGCTTATAGAAAACTCACTTCTTTTAATCTAAGTAAACCTTGGTCATATTTTTGTCTGAGAGCAAAACTGATGTAGGAAAGTGAACTTTACTCTGTTTGTTTGTTTGTTTGTTTGTTTGTTTGTTTTGAGACAAGGTTTCTCTGTATAGCCCTGGCTGTCCTGGAACTCACTCTGTAGACCACACTGACCTTGAACTCAGAAATCCACCTGCCTCTGCCTCCCAATTGCTGGGATTAAAGGTGCACCACCACTGCCCAGCTGAACTTTACTCATAGCTTTTGATTTCTAATGGATGCTGGCGTCCAGTGAGAAATACCAGATTGCAATTTATAGGCAGTTCCTAATTTCAGCATGAATTGTATTCAGTAAGTTAATTCGTAAACAAACTAATTTAACTCTGAGGCTGGTGTGTGTGTGTGTGTGTGTGTGTGTGTGTGTTTAAGAGCAAGACCAAAATTGATTGCAATTTTCCCAAACTTAACTGTAAAGTACCTAAAATTTTGATCCACAAAAATTGAGTCTGATAATTCAAGCAATTTGAGTTTAGCTCAATGGTCAAACACTTGCCTAGCATGTGCAAGGCCCTTATTTAGTCTCCAGATCCAAATGGTAGAACAAGGGACAGCTGTGGGTATAGGGCCTTATACTAAAACACCTCCCTGGGGTAATTTCTCATTTTCAGATTGTCTTTTTTTTTTCCTTCACTTCCTACTCCCATTTAATCTTGATTTCTTCTATCAAATTTCTGAAAACAAATCAAACAAAAAGGATGGCTTTTCCTACCAGAAAAACAAACCAGGATTTGACATATTTCCTTGTTTTTTCATGGCTATGCACACACATACACATTATTGTGCATGTCTCAGGATTTTCTTTCTTAAATTCTGGGTCCGTTTTTACTGTGGTTCTTTCCTGATGCAACAAGATGGTAACCATCTGAATAAGTCGCCTAAACAGTTCCAATCCAAGAACCAAGTACCGTCAGGTGGCTTTTGTCCCGAGTCTCTTTCTGAGTGGATGGTTGTGGTCAGACCTATGTTACCTGTCTGTCTCTCTACAATCAGTGGTCATGTAAAGCCCATCTAGACAACTTAGACATAGTGGGAAAGGAGGAGGGCAAAATATGGGTTCAGTTACCAGAGGGAAAAACGGCAATTTCCCAAGATATTTTAAAACTATTTCCTTCTCAAAGACCTTCAAAGACAGCACAAACAATAGAAGAAATGCAGTCTCTACAACCAGAAACTGGGAAAAAGACTTCTGGGTAGACAAAAGCAACAGATGTGTACCATGAAGACATTTTACCATCTCCAAAAAATTAAATTCTCCCTTCAAGAACAAACTGCCACTACTAAAGATACTCAAAAGAATGTTCTC